AAGTCGCCAGTTCTCATCTTCCAGCTCCCCAGCTACTCCGCGTACTAAAGTTGTACTACAAAGTCGCCAGTTCTCAGTTCTCAGCTTCCAGCTCCACAGATTGCTCCGCGTACTAAAGTTGTACTAGAAACTCACCAGTTCTCAGCTTCCAGCTCCACAGCTACTCCGCGTACTAAAGTTGTACTACAAAGTCGCCAGTTCTCAGCTTCCAGCTCCACAGATTGCTCCGCGTACTAAAGTTGTACTAGAAAGTCGCCAGTTCTCAGCTTCCAGCTCCCCGGCTACTCCGCGTACTAAAGTTGTACTACAAAGTCGCCAGTTCTCAGCTCCCAGCTCCACAGATTTCTCCACGTACTAAAGTTGTACTAGAAAGTCGCCAGTTCTCAGCTTCCAGCTCCCCAGCTACTCCGCGTACTAAAGTTGTACTACAAAGTCGCCAGTGCTCATCTTCCAGCTCTCCAGATACTCTGCGTACTACAGTTGTACTACAAAGTCGCCAGTTCTCAGCTCCCAGCTCCACAGATTGCTCCGCGTACTAAAGTTGTACTAGAAAGTCGCCAGTTCTCAGCTTCCAGCTCCCCAGCTACTCTGCGTACTAAAGTTGTACCATAAAGTCGCCAGTTCTCAGCTTCCAGCTCCACAGATTGCTTTCGCGCGCTCGACACGCACGATCTCCGCAGAGGGTTGCGCGGGCACCCGCCAAATCGCACTCTCGCCTGCATTTCGCGCACTCGACACGCACGATCTCCGCAGAGGGTTGCGCGGGCACCCGGCAAATCGCACTCTCGCCTGCATTTCGCGCACTCGACACGCACGATCTCCGCAGAGGGTTGCGCGCACACCCGGCAAATCGCACTCTCGCCTGCATTTCGCGCACTCGACACGCGCGATCTCCGCAGAGGGTTGCGCGCACACCCAGCGAATCGCACTCTCGCCTGCATTTCGCGCACTCGACACGCACGATCTCCGCAGAGGGTTGCGCGCGCAGCCGGCGAATCGCACTCTCGCCTGCATTTCGCGCATTCGACACGCCCGATCTCCGCAGAGGGTTGCGCGCGCACCGGACAAATCGCACTCTCGCCTGCATTTTGCGCACTCAACACGCACGATCTCCGCAGAGGGTTGCACTTTCGGTTGACGCTGTTCGTCCCGCACTCCGCCTTTGAGAGAGAATTTATAAAGTGGGGAAATGTTTTTTCATTAGGACATCTCCCGTGCTAGTTTTCCATACTCACACTTGCCTACTCATTGCATGCTTGTATACTCATTGCGTGCTTGCATACTCACCCTTGCATATCATGCTTGCATACTTACACTTGCATACTTTGACACTGGCATACTTCGCACTTGGATGCTTTCGCTCTTCCAGTGTGTGTGTGTAAGTGTAAGTGTCGAAGTGTAAGTGTTCAAAGGATTTTCCGGAAGAACCCTTCGCAATGCTTTCGGGAAAAACAATCTGTACAATCTGTCAGGCAAGGCGCTCCAAAAGCAACATAAGCCGTAAGCCGGCTTCCCACGCACTGACATGGACCTGCAGCCGGCTCCTTCTTCGCTGCTTCCCAGCTCTTCACGCTGAGTCTCCCGACGATGTGCTCACGCACGCCAGCCTCCTCGACTGGATCTGTGCTGGACTGTGGTGTCCAATGCACCTCACCAGCCAATGGGTCGAAAGCATGGCAGACTGGCGCATTCATGAACCAACTTCTCCATTGTCAGAACCAGTAACCAAAAGTCTTTGAGAAATCTCCTCCCCAAACCAATGCAACACAAGTACCAAGTACGTTTCAGTGGCACCCTGACACTGTGCCACGGTCCATGTTCGTCACACCCACCGGTGACTCGTCCAAAAGCACGCTTCGTTCTGAGACCCACGACCTCAGTGTCTTGCCGAGCCATGGAGAAGTTCACCTGGGCGGATGGGATGGCGTCGCGGTTTTAAGAGCGTGGCCGTCTCAGACCGTGCCACGATCGATCTGATTGATTGGTTTCAGTGTTCGGTTTGGACGATTGTCTGATTGTTCCTGGAACATCCGTGCACCTGTTCCACAATGCTCCACAGTCCCCATCTCGTTGGCAGACTCCCCTTTTTCAAGAGCTCATGGCATGGTTAAAAACTGACACGGTGGGACGGAGGTGGGAATAGGTCTCATGCTTGGAAGGGATACGTTCAACCGTCACTCTCTCTTCCTCGCTGGATGCCAGGAGGACCCCTCGATCTTTGGTGGGGCAACCTGCACCTCAAAACGGCTGAAGGTCTCAAGTCTCTACAAAATCAGCATCCAAAAGGCAGCACCACCTCCAAACACAAAACCAGGTTTGACCAACTCATTTAGGCAAAATGCCAGTACAGCACGATCGCTTCTGAGGATCGCACCATGTACGGCATATCATTGAGCCACTTCTTGCTTCCGATTACCAAATCCATATAGATCTAGCCGTCGGGCTCAGGTCGCGAGCCGGCGTGCTACCCGGATCCCACCGGCAGGTGATGGTCATCCCTCAACGATCAAAAGCAAAGGGGAAGTTCCGCTGCAGTTGGTGATTTATATAAGGCATTTTATGTGGGCAATTCTGGAAGTGGTGGGTGTCAGGTGAAGGCATTCCCCTGCTTGATGTCTGATTCCCTGCCTGTTTGTTGATCTACATTGCAAATACTCCTGGCAACAGGAAAACTACTTGAAAATGTGTTGAAATCCATATGGGGGAAGGAATCTCTACTTTGAGGCCCAAGCCTTGGAAAACAGTTCCAAATATCCTTTGAGTTCAGGATCCGTCTCTGTCCTCAAGGGGCCGGAGCGCAGCGGTCCCACGGACGGTGGTCCCCACGTGCCCCACTTGTTGCGAAGCTTTCTTTCCATGCCTTGTTGGCGCTGGTGTACTCCTTCTCGCCGATGCATGTCACCATCTCCTCGACCGTCCACAGAGTGAGTGAGGTAGATGGTCTAAGCCAACATGCTCCATGCAGGTGCGCAGGGTATATAACACAAATATATATATATATGTATGTACAAACACCTAGAGGGTTTCTATACTAGTATCAGCATCTACCTCTAAAGTCACTTCTGTGTGGAAAAAGGGGCAATCCACAAGCACCTTCCTTTACAGCATGGTATCCATATGAGGGAACTCACCGAACTAGATTTAAATCTCTCTGCAAAGGTGACTGCATTTCTACCCCATATGTGGAGGCTCAGTTGAATGGAAGAATGTATTACCCAAATGTGCATCTTCCAAGACACAAGTTTATGGTTGGTAACCAGGGGCAGGAGGAGTTCGGAGGAAACGTGGTCTTCTGTCCTTATGCTATTTTGGCAACCCTCTGTGCGTCCCCTTCAATTTCTTCTGCATCCGCTATGTTTCACCGTGGCATAGCGACAAGACTTTGGCCTTACAAGCTGACACAAAGAAATAAGAACTGCCCCCCCTTCGTCTTGCAAGAATCTACTTTTCCAAGGAGGAATGCTAGGTCAAGGGAATTGATGACAATTGAAGAACATATAAAACAAACAGAAACAACTGCAGAATCAAGGGGTCGGTGCCCCGGATTCTGGTCACTTCAATTGGCAGTTGGAGGGGGTCTCCCAAAAACTATTCGAACCTCTGAAACGTCATGTGTCTTTTTCATTATCATGTCTTATCATAAGCCGAGGTTGACAAAGCAACATTCAATATAGTGTTGCAGGAATTCTGCACCAGTGGTTGGGCAATGCAATCCGTCAAAGGGCTTATAAAAAGTCAATGCACCATGACTCCCAAAACAACTAACTATATCATGTATACATATACATACAACATATATGATTACAAATGCATGCGCACTGCACACCTAAGCTATCTTAAACTATATGCAGGTACATATCACAAAAATCATCCAGCAAACCGTTCCCATGGCAAACTTTGTGGGACAACTGAGCAGCAGGGTGGTCCGCGCAGCCAGGTGCACTCCTCCAGCTTAAGCAGCAAAACCAATGGAAGCTTCTGAGCACCTCAGGTCAACTTGCTTGAGATGTGGACCGTCAGCATGAAAATTGGTCACATCTGGACGCCGTTAAGATTGGATGCCTCTATTTGTTTGAGAGGCGTCGCTGGTGCGGGTCGCTCATCGAAGAAAATCTTGCACTGTGCAGGGTCGGATTGCATGTCCAGCCGCGACTCCTTGCAGGACAGCACCTGGACTCTGGCATCTTGATTTTCTCTGATCTTGGGGGCATGCAGGTATGAAACAAAAAACTGGAATGGAATGGTAACACCCTTTTTCAAGGGGGGGTGGTCCAATTGGAGGAGGTTGACCACAATTCTTCGGTCCTCCCGTGGGAAACTGTGAACAATCTGACGAAAAACCAAGGGCTACTGCCCATGGATGGCTCCTCACTTGCTGGGCTCTATGGCCACTTGTGCTTCAAAACCTATGCTGGAACACTTCTTATCGAGAAGGCTGAGAAAACAGCAGCATTAGTACGCTCAAGCCTTCCTTGATCTAATTGCCAGCCTGCAACCAAACAAGTTCCCTATGTTCATTCACACTCGAATGCTACTTCCCCCAAACTTTTGAATGTATCATGATCAACCCCTTTTGCCATGATCTTGGAGAAGCTTGCCCATGCTGAGCTTGTCGTTGGGGCAACGGCCAAGCTTGTCTGAAAGGTCCCGAATGGCAGTGTCCACCTGATCTGCCGAGAACTCTGTGATCAATCCTGTCTGCACCTTGCAACTAGACTAGACCAGGGGGCCACAGCAGGACTCTGCAGTCACGGCTCATCCAGCACTCTCAGCCCACGTTGAGTGTACACACCTAATAGCGATGGCCTCCAACCTACTGGCTCCTGAAGAAAACATACACATTGCTCCCATTAGCTCACACCGGTCACACCTCTGCCCCCTCAATTGCCTCGTCCATCGCTTTCTGGGACGGCCTCGCATGACTCGGCGTTCCCTCGAACCCTGGCGCCCTTCGTCAAACGCCCAGACCGATCAGGGAAACATTCAGAAGGACCAGGGGCAAACTCGATGAGAAACAGAGTTCCTACCTTGAGAGTCTTTAATGACTTCTTTGTTGTTCATAATTGACTGGGCAGTGGCCCCCAACATGTGTGCTTAGGCTTTCGTTTGGCACAGCGCCTGTGCTGTCGGCCACTGATTGGGACAACATTAAGTTCTCCATCAGACCTGTGGAAAACCTTCCACTCTTCAACAGTGTGCTCATGTCGTTCATCTTAACCACACCAATCAGTGGCTAGGTCTCACGTCTTGGGATATCTGATATCTTTTCACTGGGAGGCCGAACAACTCCGTCACGCCTAGGCCCTAGGCTGCTCGCTTGCCACCTGTCCCTAGCATCATTGTGCATCATTGTGTATCTGTGTATCTAACTTCGCTCATCATCTCCCCACTTTTAAGTGCCCCCCCTCCCCCCAGTCGTCCCAATCGGCATTGGACGGGAGTCGGACGGGAGCATCCAAGGCCCCGAGCATGCGGTCCCCACGCGGCACGAACTGCGTTGTTCGACACGGAGATACGGCCCCGGTGGGCCGCCCCACCTATGGGTGCTCTTCAAGAGAGGAGAGCAACCTTTTTTTCGCGGGGGTAGTGTGACCCAACAAGAACTGGATTCCACCATCTCGTGGGGCACCCCAACATAAATTGAGCATCATGTCCGCCTCTGGTTGGCATGGGCCACAAAAACTTGGAGCCAACCAACATGCCCTTGCTCAGTCCAGATAGACTGAATGCCGGTCAAGGATAGCCAACCATGTCTGTTCATGTCAATTACCATCAATTCCAAACCTTTGACCGAGCCTCCCAATGTCTGTTCGCCTCCCGAGAGAATCCGAGGAATCCAGATGTACTGGGTTGCAGGAAGCTTTTTGAACGGCCAGATTGCAGAAGCTTCACCCACTGTGGTAATCATGAGCTCCAAAAGAGGCAGGGTATGGCCGGATCCTGTCCTCTCCAGTTAGCTGGTTCAGGTCATCTCCAGGTGTGCCGCCTACACATGATTAAGTAATGTTAGTAATTATATAAGTGCTGTGGCCTTGTTTAGGGGTATGCCCCAGCAATCCAATAAAATATAGTTATATACATGAACAGCATCACAATTGACTTTGAATGTCGGCATAGGTGCTCAAACAGCCTCCTAAAGTCACACCCCAATGAATCTGTATTCTATATATATATAGAGAGAGAGAGAGAGATTGGGATGATGCGCCCGGCGCCCATCAAATAGGCTCAAAACGAGGCAGCCGGCAAATCTGGCAGTCCAGCCATGGGACTAACTGGTCTACAGTGACTACATTATGTCCTTTCTGGATTCAAGCCGGAATCAGTTTCAACATGTTTCAACCAATGACCTTGCAAAAAACTAACCTGCTGTCTCTGTTGTAACTCACCTGAACCAACGTTGCAATGTTGATTGCAACCGCCTCTTTACCCCAGCTCCGTGTTGTTCCAATTGGCCGATGTCATCCAACCTCCAACCTACGTGCCTCGGGTGATTTGGTGCCAGCGGATCTCCAACCTGGGAATAAAGCCGGTCTGGAGAGACATCTAAAAACTGGACCAATTTCAGGGTGCTCCCCCAAAGCATTGCAAGCACACAGCACAGGGACGTGACCTAGCAGCTAGCAGAATCTCTATGTGGAGTGCATCTACATGTCCAATCTTTAAGAAATGTGCTTGTTCTCGAAACTGATTTGGAGAAAAAAGGATGCAATGGTGCAGAAATGTGTTTATGATCTTGTCTCGTAGCGAATCAAGTCAGTAATTTTACTTGTATCACGCACAAGAAAGCACGCATTCTATTTACAAGTATTTACAAGTGCTTGTTGAATGTTGATGAATGTGGAGGATGTTGAATGAATTCTTTGAAGTGAGAAAAGGCCACAAGCACCAACACTTCCCTAGCATAAGCAAGAGGCTAGGGGACGTCCTTGAAAGGGGAGTCTGCAATACCCCCCACCCCAGCTGTCACTCTGTCACTGGACCCTCCGACACTGAAGGAGGTATTGCAGCGCATGAGCCTCGACAATGTGCTTTCGGGCTGCTGAATCGAAAGGTGCTGGAAAAGAATCATTGTGGCCAACAACTTCAAACAGTTGGACAGTTGAAAGTCTTGACTTTAATCTTGAAGCCAGGATTGATCACCAAAGGCTTCATGAGCTCATGACTGCAATGCAGTCACACTAAGTAATCTTCGCATCTCAATGCAGCATCTGCAAAGAGCTTGCGCCATCTCCAAAAAAGCAAATCAACTTGAGATATTCTAGATCAGGTCAACCACGGATTCAGAAACTAGAACCGCGGATTCGGAAACTAGGGTGGCCACGGATTCGGAAACTAACTAGGCACGGCGCGGATTCGAAAACTAGGATTCGGAAACTAGAACGGCGGATTCGGAAACTAGAACGGGTCTGAATCGGATAGTTTCCGAATCGGGTCTGTGAAATACGAATATGTCCACGCTACATCAACACAAACATTTCATTAGATCCCCACCCCCACACCCCCCAGTTTCTGAATCGGCTAGTTTCTGAACCGGGTGAGTTTCTGAATCGAGACACTCTGTAGTTTCAGAATCGCAAGTTTCTGAATCGTAGTTTCTGAATCGGAGCTAATTTCTGAATCCTCTGTTCTTCTAGATCAAGCAGGAAATTGATTGCCCTCACAGAATTCATCTGCAACCCCCTGTGAGAGGTCTTTCATTTGGCCCCGGTCTTCCAGATGGGGGGGCTCAGCAAGGATCTCCAAAATCGAACATCAACTAGCGATGTGTTCCGCACTTTGCCGTGCTTCAGTCTCTATTTTGTGAATGGCTTTCACCACACTCCGTCGAGAAGACCCTCCTTCTTTCCCGCTGCCTTTGAGGTGCTGCAGGAGTTCTTCCATAAATGAAGCTGCTCAATGCTGTCAATGCGTTTCAATCCTCAAGCTGGTCCAAAACTGGTGTGAACTGGACCCCGTTCCATTCTCCATGATGGGAGGGAACGCACTAAGGCCTCCAGCCAGGAAACCCACCGATGTCTGGAAAGAGCTCCTGCGAGTCCAAGCTGAAAAATCCCACAAGCCTTTGACTCACCGAGCGTGATATAACAGTCTACAGGTATATATAAGAATGGTATATAGATCATTGAATAATATTACATACACTGACATACACATAAACAACGGAGTAGATGGAGATGGCGCAACGCACTGTGTTCAAAGGTGGCAAGTAAGCGGCGAACCCATCAGTACTTGGGTGAACTGGGAGTAAACCCCTCAGAGCTCCTGACAAACCCGTCCTCAAGTGGCGGTTATATATAGGTCAAAACTTGCCCAGGGCTAAATCGATGTCAATGTAGCACGGTGCTTGGCGCAAAGATCCACAGACTAGCAACATCTAGCAACCGGAATGGTTCTGGCTGGAACATGTAGGCACCATCCCACCAGGTCCCATTTGGACTATCTCGAGGCCTTGCTTGCCAGACCCCGAAATCTCCACGGACTCGGATTCGCCCGGTCCTTGGCATCCAGGACTTCGTCACCTTCCGGCAAAACAGGTCGAAAGAGCAAATCCGAATCCTTAATTGAGCAAAACTGTCCAGTGAAAGAGTGTGTTGATCTGCCGATCGCCGCTGATGTTGTTGTGTGACCTTGTGACCTGACGAGGAATTTGTAAGCTTTGGAGATATGTCTGACGAAGAGGCTCACGCAAGCAAAATGTGCATGCGGCACCTGATGGATCAAGCACTCCTCAAAACTGCCGGACCCCGTGCAGGGTGATGCCTACATGAACGAAACCATGAAGTCCAATGACAGTGTGTCTCGGTGAGCACAAAAATGACAGTTTGTCTTGGTGAGCATAGGGACATAATTAGTATCAGGGTCAAGTGTTACAATTCACCTCTCTCCCACAAAAAGGAATCACCCAAATTTAACGTCAGCCTTATTCAGCCTTTGATCGTAGCTGTAATGTGGCATTCTAGCACATGCGCGTGTGTGGCACGCCATTGCCATGTGGCGTGCATGAAATGACGAAAAGCCTCAAGAATGCAAAGTTGGCGGAATAAAACTTTTGTTAAGCACTGAGGCAGTCGTGCACGACAATAACTATGAAATTGAAGTATTCTCAAACAATCTCCAGTTGGCTTCTTTGCGGTTCCACCAACCACGGTCGTCAAATAAAATCTTACAGCTGATGACCCGCCTTTTCGTTTGGAGCTTGATCTGCTCTCTTGGACTCTGGAAGGGCTGGCCTGCGGCCAAGGACACACAATTCCAGGAGAAGCTACCGGGGAACGACCGACTAGTTGATGGATAAACAACAGAAACGTATGGAAAAGTGAATTCCACCTAACCCGTTGGTTGTTTCAAATCCTAGAGTCCCACAGTTCTTGCTCTGTGGGAATCATGTCTGTTTCGTTTGGGCGAATAGTTTCCGCTGTGACTGCTGTGTTGTGGTACCCTCTGCTTGGGAGTTGGGGAAGTGACAGCCAGAATGCAACTGAATGACGTTTTGAATGTACCTATTCTGTTCCTTTTCGTTTGAGCATTTCGATCTATTATTAATATCATTTAATATCATTCCAGTTCTTTCAGGATATTCTCGACCATTCCCACGTAGTATAAACATCGGTTTGCAAAAAGGAACCGCCTCACCATCCAAACGTTAGAGATCTTTAGAGTGATGCCATCAGATCATCAAATTGGTGGGCTATAGTGGGCAGTATATACAGTATATACGTGTGTGTGTGATTGTGTATATACATATATGTGTTTAAATAAGTGTACAATATTATATATATATATATGGGCATGTATTTTTTAATAGGGGGAACCCCAACCAATGGGTTTTGGTCTATGGTCTCCCTATATATACACACCCAGATGGTCTTTGGGAGCCCACCCATCCATCGAACGCCTCCCCATGTGATCGCACAAATGTATACAAATGTCACATCTCGCCATCGTCCCATCTCGCTCCTCTCAGACTCACAGCATGCTGGAGCATTCTTGTCGGTTGCACGGCAGCAGGCGTAGCCCCAGCCATCTTGCGATGAAAAGAAAGAGCCCCACCTCAGTCCAACAGAGGGCGCAAGGGACAAACCCCGAAAGGACGGATCGGCACGGCCGGGTTGCTGCGGCTTTGGAACCAGGAGTTTAAGATGAATGAGTTTAAGAGATGAAGCCGGAGTAACACGCAGTTGCTCATCATCAATAATAATCGATCGAGCCTCGGATTTAACATGCTGTTTTTAACACATGAATGCAGGCCTCTCAAACCACTTCAGGGGGGATAGCTGATACTAACATAATTGATTAGTATTGATTAGTAACATCAATCTGCACGCCACGATTCATAAGCATAACATCTTTGCCTGTTGGGATCACTTTTCATCGAGCTCTTTCCGTCCCGGGCGTCCGTGCACAAATCAGCGAATCCAAACCGGACTTGCTGTAATCCTAGTATTTAACAAGGTGCATCGCTACCAGTAGCAAGAAGCTTTACTACGAGTATAGTAGCTATTTGATGCTATTTGAACCAATCCTCATGAGATCTCCCGAGTGCCACGGATGAAACCGTCGGCTCTGTCCCAACTCAGGGCGTGGCACGCTGCTGTGGCCCGGGGGGACCACATCCTGTCAGATCTGTCAGCTCATAAGTGGCATCCGAATCCCACCCGTCGAAGAGTGCAAAAGGTCGCGGTGGTGAATAAAGTTCATGCATCAGATCGATTTTCTGCCTAACACATTAGAAAAATAGGTGGAGAATTGATGCCAAAGGATTGCCGTGAAATGGATAGCCCTGAAGATTCTGCATGGCAACTATTCTGTGCTCACAGCCCATAGGCACGCAGAACGCTCAAGTTCAGGGCTATGCTTTTGTCTTTCAATCTTGTACGTACACCCCGACTAGTCACTAACATGGATGTGGAAAAACAACCTATTTAATCCTGTTTGTAAAGGAACATGGTCTTCCAAGGGTCCGTGTTAGTGAGGCAGAGTGCAGGTTCTTTCAGAAGAGGTACCCTACGAATTCCATCCCCTCTTGCCAAAACAGACCGACGTGCAAGACACGTGGCGCCCCGTGGCGCTGGTGTTGCGTGTGGCCTTGTCTTGTGTGACACGGGGGGCAATCACCGCACAAGCTCGGTGGAGCACCATGACCACGCACGACCAAACACCGTTTGGTCCCGTTTCAATTGAGCAAACCCCGTGGACGACGGGGTGTCTCCCTAGTTTCATGCACATTCGTGTTTGGTCGCCCATCAGTGCTGGCAAAAAGAAAACAAAACATCAAGCGTCCGGTCTCCCACGCCGACCAAACACCTCTTCATAGCGTGAGGCTGCCAAGGATAGTTGGGCACGGCCTGAGTCCGAGTAGTCAGGTATTGGATGGTACATATATGAGCATTGTGATCAATTGGGCTACGGACAGAGAGCAAAACCTACAGTGGTAAGTAGCAATAGCAAACAGCACTTTATATACTCAAATTATATAGCGGCTTCTGTTTTCAGGGGGGTCCATGAAATTGCTCCATATTGGAAAGATTTGGAAAGGAACTGGAGCCAAAAGTCTCACTAGGTAGGTTTGTTATGCATGCATATGCATGCATTCGATTATGGAACAGCGTCACCATGCTTTACCACCAAAACATTAATGATTATTTAATGCAGATTAATGCGCAACACATGCGGAACCTGATAGTACTCATGGGATCCAGGTGCTTCAAAACAAGTTGAGTTTGCTGCAGTTTGCAAAGGATATCTGGCAGGGTCATCGAAAGGGTGGAGTTGGATTGCAACAGTCCACGCCGGCTGAAATTGGGTCCCCAGTCAGATGTCCATTCCATCGGTTGCTCGGACAAGTTCACGAGATTTACATGTCGCCCCGTCCGGACCAGAACGAAGCAAAGCCACCAGAACATTTTCTCCAAAACATATAGAATATTGTAGAATACACGGCTGGTCACTGTCACTGGGCTTAGATGAGGCTGCTCCGAACAAACAAAAAAACATATTATGCGGTATATGCGATAATATGTGTAACAATCTGATAAACAAACATGGAATAACATGGAAGGGTACCATGGCTGCATGATATTTGAGTAGGACACCTATCTGAAACATCGACCTGTCGATGCCAACTCATCGTTCCACCAGTGCCTACCTTTGAGACCTGCGTCGCTTGCAAACAGGGAGCGGCTGTAAAGGGTCTTCAGGCAGAAACATGAAGAAACCCCGTAATCCCTGGCCACTATCTATCGTGAATCATGGCCTCGTTCACATCATCCCATGCTACCGTGCTGGAAGCCCTTGCAGCAACATCCCCTCGTTCATGAAGCAATGATTATTCAGCCACTGTGGCGTCTCTCTATCTCTCTCTCTCCACACACTAGGACCCGGACAATTGCGGGCGTCACTCATATCATGTCGTTATTCCATGGCTTTGGTCCTTATCAACTTGGCCTTCGATTTCACACTGGCAGCTGCTGAGACACATGTGCAAGCTGATAAGGTTTCGGCTTGAGAGTCCAATGTCTGCATTGCAGTCAATGACAAAACATAGCTGTCACTGGTATCAGGCACGGCGTGGGAACATGTATTGGCTGAGGGTACGGGTACGCATGTCGAACTGCCACGCCCCTGGCATTGGGAGAAGCTGCGGAGAACCGGAGAAGAAGTCTTGGGATAAATATGTCTCTGGATTGCATGCAAGTTGCCCCGTGGTACCTCAATTGTAGTGAGAACTGCGGAAAAGCCCCAACATAGGCGTCTCTTTGCGTTCCTCTGGCAGCCTCTCGCCCATCTTTTCCGACCTGGTCTGAGTGACCCTCGCCGCGCGTCGCCGTCTCCGATGGCACCGAAACTCTGATGGCACGACCTGGTGGCCCAATCCACGCACTCGACTCAAGAAGCTGCCCTAACATGGGCTGTTACAACATGTGGTGAACCTCCAAGTGAAGCCCCTCACAAATCAACGGGTATGTCTTTGCAGTGCTTGCTCTTGACATATGTTGAACAGCGCGCACGCTTGAAACGACGGTGTAGGCAGCTCTCAGATTGTCACAGCTGCACGTCACCTCCAGCACATGAGGTTCCCCAACCACTTGCAGCGACAAAAGGCAAACCCCTGAGGTGTTCATAAAGGTGAAGCTGCAAGGAGGACTTCCTCCTCTTCTAATGCTCCCATGTCATGCGCATGTTACAACTGACGGCTTCCATATCTCTACCCTAAAGTCACGAATCTAAATAGTATAGATGATTTTAGAGGGTTGCAACAAGCTTCGCAAGGTAATTGCAAGAAGGCTTATACACTTGAGAAGAGGGAGACACCCTTTAGGTAGGAAAGCTGGAAGGTGCACGGGGGGAACCACAAGGCCCGTACACTTGCATCCCAAAAGAAGTTTGTTGATCCGATGATTTGCATCCACTTCGGGACGACGTGGGGGGGTCTTTATTGAAAAATCAATGCTCAACATTGCTCAACGGGGGGTTACGGTTAGGAATGAAATATCAATTCCAAGCGGTTTGGTCTAAGCGGTGGTTGGCACAAGCCGTGGCTTGGTGTAAACGATGGTTGGTGTAAGCCGTGGCTTCGTGTAAGCAGTGGTGGGTGTAAACCGTGGTGTGGTGTAAACGGTGGTGGGTGTAAACCGTGGTTGGGTGTAAACAATGGCTGGTGTAAAATGTGTTTTGGTCTAAACGGTGGTTTGGTGTAAACGGATGTAAACGGTGAGTGGTTAGTGCAAAACGTGGTGTGGTGCACACGGTGGTTGGTGTAAACCGTGGCTTGGTGTCAATTAAAACGTGGTTTGGCGTCAACGGTGGTTGGTGTAAACCGCGCAGGGGCGTAAACTTTGGTTGGAGTGAACGTGGTGTGGTGTAAACTGGTTGGTGTAAAACGACCGCGCAGGGGCGTAAACGGTGGTTAGTGTGTATAAAACGTGTTTTGGTGTAGACGGTGGTTGGTGTAAAACGTAGCAGTGGATGCGCGGTGCGAATGCAAATCTGAGCCGTTGATCCGAGAATTTGTTGACTAACCAACCACGTTGCCGACTTTCTCGCAGACCAAATGACCCGCTCCAAATAAGATCCACTTCGGGACGAAGGGGTGGGTGGGTGGGGGGGGTCTGTATTGAAAGATCAATTGGAAGGGGGGGTTGGATTGAAGAATCAATTATTCCAAGGGGGAGTTGAATTGAACTATCAATTATTAGATTCGGAGGAGCCCACACTTGCTTCGCAAGACAAACTTAAGGTATCCCACTGAGGGCTACCTTTCGTGTTTAGCCAAGTAAGTGACCCACCCAAGGAATCCAAATGATGTAGTTCATGCAAATGGCTCAATCACCCGATCCAAAGGTGGACTCTCTGTCCCGTTCTTTCAAACAGGGTGTCCTGTATACTGAAGGTCACCAAAGGAATGATCAGATCAGGGCGGCCCTGGCTGCGACACAGTGGTGACGCAAAGACCGTCCGCCGGCCGCCCCTCGCGAAGAGAGCACCTGTCGGGCCTGTCGGGAATCCGAAAGGAAAGAAACGGGCTGAGGCGGCCGAAAGAAAACGTTCGTTTTGGCTTCTCACGTCTCACATTGAATACGGAAAACGAGTGTATAGATGAGTATATAGGTAGATGTACTGAGTTTATTCATGGAGCGTTCATTCATGGAGCGTTCATCGCAAACATTTGTTGCTAATGTGTTTCACTACTCAGAAACTGCTGAAAGCAAACATGCTGGTGAAGTTGCACTGGTCATTACAGTGGTGATTGAAGCTTAGACTCTATGAACATGATCATCTTGTGGGCTTTTCACCCATGCCGCCCGGGGATGTGACCGGCAAAAGAAAGTCGATGTGTCGCTACTCAGGGCTCCCTTTCATAGCAGCTGACTTCTATGTCTACAAGAGGACTTGTTTGAAACACCCTTTCCGTCCTCACCCGAGAATCCAGCCAAAAACATACCAAAAAAACACCCCAAAGGTGGCTCTGCTTCCACCACTGTCGGATTGCTTCACCTTCTAAGGTCATACCTTGCACTCCCATGCTTGGACCAACTGGGAAACATCCGAGATTTGTGCCTTCGTCTTCCGTCCTGGAAACGTTCGCATCGGCGGATGGAGTCGTTCTAGGACTCAACCGCCGAATCTTCCATGAGCGAGTCAGTCTTTTTGTGGTCTTCCCTGCCAAGCTGCCAAGGAACTATAAGGGAGAAACCAAAGTCGTGGGGACATGTCGTGCTGCCCATTGCACCGGTCATCTCGAGAAAGGACACAATGGACACAACGCCAGAGAACGCAGAATGGACTTAGAACACCCAAACGCAGGAGTCCTGAGCACCTATTAAAAGAACCATCCGACACTGATGCAGTTTGCCGCTTCTTGATTACGCCACATTGCGCCCACTGTTGGATACCAAGCAATAAAGACATGCCGCCAAATTTGGTACCCGCTATAGTCACCAGAGTCACAATTCAATCGTGCCGCTGGTGAGCTGCATGCAGCATTTACACATTCATGTGTCCCGATCCCCGAAGGTATGGAGCCCACACAAACGCACTTTTGAATACTTTTGGTGACTCCTGTTTAGCTTTAGTTGGATTCGATTTATGCCCCTTATTTTGGACAACTTGTTTGCCTGATGGACCTTGATGGAAACCTTACAAGCGAAACATATATATGTATATTATAAGTGAAGAGGCTGAGGAAAACCCTTCGATTTGGAGACATGTTTTTGTTGATACGCCTTTCGAGTTCCACAACAAAAAGGGCTGTATTATAAAAATTGAGGGCTTTTTTTGGTTTGGGGCGGGCAGAAGGGATTGCAGTCTAGCTTCCAATACCATGCCCAAAATCTGGCCTTCTCTGAGATGACCTACTGTCCGGTTGACCTCCCAGTCACTCGAAGGGCAGTTCAGCTACAGAGCTGACTATATCCATTCTTGCAGTGGAGATTGTCGTTTTACGACATCTCAATGGGATGGATCAAGCTGCATACTGTAATACATGTTCAAGGCTTTTGCATCAATTATGATCCCGGAGGATATCTCCGAAACCGCACGCCTTCGGGCATGCGTCTGACGAAGGTCCATCGTACAATCTAAAAATAGGGTCTCAAGCATGATATTCGGAAGTGATGTCACATGCACAACAACATCACTGTAGGTCACACAAATCCACAAAAATCCACAAACTAAGTCCTTCAGGTTGTGGTGTGTGTTTGTTCTTGAAAGAACTCAGGAGAACTTCGCCTCGGGAAAATAAGCTCTGATTCAAGAGCAAGGGGACGGTGGCTGGGAGCCTCTCCCGAACGGACCCCAACCGCATTTCGCTCGCACAAATCCTCGGAAGTCGGCAAGCAAAGAATTCTATACGGAGCTCAGTGTACATTCTTTGGAAGGTCTGCACCTTCCGTCGAATGACAAAGTGCCACAAGGCTCTACAGTTCAAAACTCCGGGATTGAAAAGCTCGTGGAATGATCAAATTGTTGACCTATATCCGCGACGTCTCCATCGTCTTCAGGTCGTCGGCGTCCTCCTCAATCGACTGAAGCTTCTCCACCGGCAGGCCAGCGTCCTAAGAGCTTTTGCAAGCTGACAGGCGCATGAAAAGTTCACAAAATCTATTCCCAATCATCCGCAAACTGTGTTGGACATGCCTTTATCTTTTGTGAAGGTAAGATGTTAACCTTGCTTTTCGCATCGGAGGTTTTGGTCACTGCTGAATGGGAGAGAAAAAAAAAAGCATACAGAACCCACTCAAAGCTGGGGCTCGCAGCCGCACGGAATAGAATATTAGTGATCAGAACTAAGACTCTAGACTCTTAGACAGTGCCTATATAGACATATGATGAGATATTGAAGCCATGATTGATTCATTTTTTGCCACAAAGTGGGAAGTCCAGAATCCAAACCATACCATGTCCAAAGCACGTCTCCAGTCCGCTGACAGTTCCAACAGTTACCCGCGCAGTTTGCACGAATCCTCTTAGGACTTTCCGAAACCGAAGAGGTGCGTTAGCCGCGCCACAAACCCTGGCTTGAAAACACGCCACCAGCTATATGGTCGACCATGGTGGATGATTCAGCACGGGGGGTCCACTGATTGCGCAACCATGAGGATGTTTCCATGGCTCCCCCATCGTCGGGCCCTTGTCCACGATCGCCGTAAAACTGCTCCAAGTGGCTGACAAGGTCCAAGATGGATCTTGCCTAAGTGCCGAGCCGGAACCCCCACCAGCGCGCCGCACACCCATTGTAGGGGACTGGAAAACATGTCCTATCAAATCTTCAACTCGCGGTTTCTAGATTCGCATCCTGGGAAGCGGTCACCCCAAACATATGGCAAATCCAGGGATTTAAGCATCGGGAAAAGGCGCAAGGGATGGTTGCTGAGTCCTTGATATTTGTATATAATATAATTGGGGTCTATCCCATTGCCAGTAACAGTGGATGATGATGGCTAGTAGAGGCCTTTCTCAAAAATAGTGATCATCTTTTACTGACTGTTACTGGTAATGGGCTACACCCTATATATATAGCTGGACCTGCTCATTGATGGTGAGCGCATTGACCACGTCAGAGTGCATTGGCATTGCTTGAAGAATGCTGTCTCGTGTCGTATTGATTTGCCGGATGGTACCTGCCAAAAACACGCATTGAGGGTTATATGGAGGCAAGCTCTTTTTGAAGGTTGCGAGTGCGCACCCTCAAAAAGTGGACGAACGCATACGAAAACCACTCTATCCTACTCTGCCCCTGTCTGGTATGAGGAAATGCTCCTCCAAAGTGCCATGTGATCCAATTCCATGTTTCTTAGAGCTCAACCTGCCGAGCTGACCCAGCGTTTGAGCAAACAATCAAGGTCAAGTGCATACACACCGCCGACCAACAATGATCGTTCCAGGCGGGTAAAAATGAGCTGCTTGAGTCGCTCGAACGACTAGTTGCTTGAGTAGCCTCCACCTGGAAGAAATACCATCTTCCAAACCCCCTCTTTTGGGTTGGAGTGCTCCGAATCGGGGGGTAACACTAACATACCGAAACAAACTTCTAGTGGGTACAGGACCCACAAGGTAAAATTAATACACTATGTACCATGCCCATGTCCTTCCACACCACAGCATTCACCAAGCGTCTCATTTGTCCGGAACCGCGTCTTTGGCCAGCCAAATCGTGCCGCGAAGCTGGGCCGAGTGGTTGGCGTCAGGGGAGTTGGCAGATCAAAGAGACAATGGGGGGGTTATTTATACCTTATACACAGAACGGGTACATGACATGAGTGATTGATGATTGAGAAAAAACAACTACAATACGCCGCAATTCAGAGTAGGCTCTTGACCAAATCACTTGCGTCTCTTTGCCGCTGACTAAAACAAGGAGAGACAGGGCATCGCACAACTTCTCCATCGACAATATCGTGTTCTACTCCTACTACAACTGCAAAGATGTTTCATGAATTCCCGGCAGTGTCCGACCATTATGCTGATAAGCTGTGTGGGCGGCCCCCTGCACGTGACCAGAAAATGGTCCAAACCCTATGGATCGACCGAATTTCTGAGACTGTGATTTTGGGGACGCAAGCTTGTGTAGGCGCCGGGAGGGTCCAAACACCTGCGCAACGCGTAGGTATGCCAGGGACGTCCCCAGGTATGCCGTCGATTCTTGCCCAGATGCGTGTTGTAGGACTCAGAAGATCCACCTCCGTCTTGGCCAGGCACACGCATACTACGTGACTTCATGTACAAGGACCGGAAGGCCGTCGGGTCCAGCGGTCCTGAGTTTCTGCGGGGAGTTGGATTCCTTCGTTGCGTTCGTCATGGGAGAAGAATGCCATCTCTGTACCTGCACTTGTGGGTAGCATTGGCTCATGATCGTTGGGTGTCGTATGTGGTTGAGAAATGCTTAAAGCATTTTAAGGCCATGAACCACCACCATACCACTAATTATGTAGACTTTACTAAACATCACCAGACCACAACACCTTTAAAACTCAAGTTCTCCGACACCTTTAAGAACTTATCCCCTTTCGACGGCGGGCTCTTTCTCCAGGGCACGTCTGAAGCCATATTTGTCCGTGCTCATAGAAGTCGGACCAGGAGCAAATCGAGATCTCAAGCTTCCTTGGGTAGCGCAGCAGAAGCAGAATGAGCCCCACAGCTAGTGTGTTGGCTGCTTAGGCTTCTTATGGCTTCTTATTCTACCACACACCAGATGTACAACAATACCCATACATTGGGCAAGTGATACATTGGCAAAAAACCGTTCTGATCATCGGCAAACACTTCAACATGGGCCTGCTAGAAAAAGAAGAAACAAGTGACCTGCGCTTAGCACCGCCCGATGTGTTCAGGTCACCACCTGACGAGATCTCCCCGTGGCTGTCGGTGAATTCCACCGATCTCCAAGTCTCGAAGGCTGTCGGACTTGTTCAGTCGAGGCCTGGAACATGCGGAGCACGAGGCCTCGAGTTGAAACATTGGTTCTATATGGTTCTACAAGTCCTGCAATCCACAGGTTGAAGCGATAGATCAAGCAGCCATCGGCTCGTGGTATGATAAAGCTTGAAAAAGCTTGCAAAGGAAAGCGTCTGGAATGTTGTCCCCAGCCCCAGCCCAACCAAGCATGTGGAAGCACCTCTGCAAACTCACCATAGAACCTGACATAAACAAAACCTCGAAGTGTGGAAGCAGTTGGCCCATCATGCGCCGCAACACAGCTGATGAAGCCTTTCGGAACCGACTGCACCACTTCCATCCGCTCTCCCCGATCGGAGCCGTGCGAGCCGAACGACCGGGCGAGACCGGGACGGTGATGGGTGGCGCCAAGGCACTTTCGGCTCTCCTGGAGAAGCATATCTAACCTTAGCCAAGGCCACACTCCGGCGCCATTTGTGGACGCTATACCAAATCGCTGACTGACAGGTGTCCAAGCGCTCAAGCCAGGCATGTTCACAACAAAAGACTAGGCATGTTCACAACAAACCACTGCCCTTCGATGTAAAAGCGCGGTGAAACCACAAGTAAAAAGCATCATTTTCAGTGCCAAAGGGCCGGAGTTTGCAAACATGCCCTATGCACAAGGATTGCAATTCAGCCGAATTGAGTGTATCGACTCATATCTCCATCTGCTTGAGAAACAAGGTATCTCAAAAGGACAAATCTATGTATCAGATTGCATTCATATGCCATATGCTGCATTATGCTGCCATCTATATGCGTACTTCAACCAACTGATTTTGTAAGGACCATGAATTTCTCTACATCCATCTGCGACCTGATTTTTTCATGATTTGTGGCACACATCTTTGGCCAAACCCTTTTTGTCAACCATCCTGCCAGTCTCCAGGCGGGCTCGAGGTCGGGATTTGAAGCCCAGAAAGGCCCGGTCTGCGGCCAAAGTAGCTTGGCTTCAAGGTTTACCATGATAGCCTGCCACGGTCTGCGGGACGAACGACCCAAGCCTACGGTTTGGTCTTGGATGGTCTCGGCAGCGCTTCTTGGGGCTGAGAAGTGGATGATTCTCGACTAAGAGAAGTGAAGCAAATGCGTCTGTTTGTTGTCTACTATATTCTGTCATCATTCTACTACATTCTATGATTCGATGCCAAAGGCATATCATCATACAATAAGCTTTGCATAATTGGGAGAGCTCGCCTCGATCGAAAGCCCCAAAATCTCAGCAGACTGGCCATGCATCTGATTGGCTTCCTGAGCAGCCGGATGCGCTCAGCCCGGCTCTCTGAACCCTCAGAACTCTATCCCACAGACTAGTGCTGCAAAACCCCCAATGTGCAACCACAACTTAGGAAGACAAAGCCAAAAGCCCAGCATAAAGAACATTCACGACCAATTCGGACAATCACAGGTTAGGTGAGCCAAGAATGACACAATTGCACATGGGGACAGGACAGGTGTATTGATTCGGTGCATGATATCATCAACATGTTTCAATACCGAGGACTACAAACACTTTTACAATAGGTGATTGTGAGGGTGAAACTGAACATGGATCAGTTGCCACACAAATATGTAGGAGGCATCTAGCCTCAAGAGTCACAGAGAAAAAAAATCATTTGGCTGACTTGTCTCAAAAAAAAAAAAAGCGTGCGCAAAGACGTCCCAGAAAATGCATGCCAAAGGAAGTCATACACTCCCGCTTGCATTCTTAAAGCATTGATTAACATGACACTTTATCCTCGCATTTGCTGCTGGCACTTGTTTCACGGAAATGGTATGATAAAGCTATGCTTGCTCAAATCACTTGAGATCCTTGTGCCTGGCTTTCACTACTGTGATTCTCGTCTTTGCATCATGCCCTCCCAAGATGTTATATCCAAAAAGCTATGAAGACTGTAGGAATCTGTAGGAGGAAAACCTCTAGGGATGCCTTGTGAGGACTGGACCAAATCTTGCACAAGCTAATTACTAAATGGCGCAAGTTCATGCAAGTTACCCCTCATGGTTCCCCCAACAAGGCAAACTGCGGCAAACTATACTTAGGGTTACAGTAGCCTTAGCACCAAAGCACCTGAACTTGCCAGCATGCCCAGAAACGCGTGTCCACTGCTGATACATTTCGTTACATTCTGGTATACCACATAGATGGGTCAGATATTGGTTTGATCCTTTTGACAACCCACAACCGCTCGGAGGCCGCCTGTTGGACTTCATGCAGCTTCGACCACAAGTGTGGCTCTGTATCTGGGGCGGTGAGCATCGCTTTTTCTGGGTCGGGTGCTGTCGAGGCGTTTGAAAGCTGTGAATCCATGCCAAAAACCAACTCATCGAGGTCCGTGCACATTTCGTGGGTGGGAAAGTCTTAAATAATGCCCTGCCAACTTGACGTCTTGCACAAGAAGACTCTTGACGTCAGCTGAGTCATGAATCCGCGCACGTAAGGCACTAATAAATTGCATCATTCCAAGTCCATGAGCAGCATGTAAATCAACCTTGTGCAACCTCAAAGAGCACTTGACAACAAAAAACAACATGCTTTCAACTGCAACTGTGGCAACATTGTCCCCAAAAAAAACGCCTCCAACGACATCCCCGTGGCTGTTCTCCCATGCTGTTTCCCGCGTTTTCGCGCCTAAGGTGGAGTCCGTCTGGCTGGTCTCATGGCCGCTCTCTGGGCCTTTGACCGTCTCGGCGAACGCTGGCGCTGGCACTGGAGGTGCTGGCGTTGGAGGTGCTGGTCTCTGGCGATGCACCTGGAGGGCCACGTCATCGATGCACGCCTCAGAAGCATTCAGAAGCAAGAAAAAGTTTTTGTCGTTCTGGGAGGGGTCAGGAAGGATAGAAAATGGTAGTAGGATTGCTATGTTGGATGGCAACTGCTCCTCCAGGTGATGATTTCGTGGATGGGCTTGTGAGGGAGGTTTTGGGACGTTGTGACTTATGCATTCCATCTTGCCAGTGGGTGATAGAAAAGAATCACATGTCACATATAGAGACACTAAAATAAAGTGATCAACCACTTGAGTGGTTGGGTTGGGTGTTTTCAGTTCCCAGATTGGTGTTTTCCCTTCCCGTGGTGTTTCCTTTTCCCAGATTGTTTTTTTCGGTTCCCGTGGTGTTTCTGGTTCCCAGATCTTGGTGTTTTCAGTTCCTGGATTGGTGTTTTCCTTGCCCAGTGCTCCTGTGTTGGTGTTTTTGGTTCCCAGGTTTGGGTGTTTTCAGTCCTGGACAATGTGTTCCCTGCCCGGCTCCTGTGTTGGTGTGCCCTTTCACGTGTTTGTTTGCCAGCTTTCGTTTGAATTTCTGGCTACCATTGCCCACCGCTGGATTTGAAAGCACGTACTCGTGTCACACAATTAAACAGACAATGAACACCGCAAAGCCGTCAAAGCCATTCGCTGTAAAAACATGTCAGTTTGCGTAAACCCACTGCCGCAAAAACACAAGGTACCCGGTGACACCATCATAACCGCGCACTGTACGAACACATAGACGAAAGCATACAGAGCTTCATTTTTG